TGCATAGGTCCTGCTTTACCTTGGTCTTAACCATCCAGTACAAAAGTATAAAAATGAAATAGAAGAAGTAAAGCTATGGTGTTATGTTGAGCTGTATGGGACTGAGGTCAACAATTTCTGACATTGCCAGTCAAGCGAAAGACCCAATACTATTATGGGCTACTGGACTCTTTTAGAATATTTTGCTGAGTTTACACACCTGTAATATTCAAATAACAGAACTTAACAAAATAGGGTATACAGATGAATGTTCAGTTTGTATCTGTGTATTCAAAGTGGTTAGGATAGAGTTACAATCTCTTAAAGAATAGAGTGATTTCTTCTAATAGTGTTTGTACATAGAATATCATGTCTGCATTTTGTACAGCAATTAACCACTAGGAAGAATGTATGCAATGTGTTAATTATTGAAACTGTCCTACCAATTTGATTTGAACCTGTCTCATTGCTATTTATCAATAAAATTATGGGGAAAAAAAGAAAAAGAAAAAAATCTTGAAGTTCCTCAAAAAACAAAACAAAACAATGTGTTTAGGGTTGCCTTTAAAAAAAAGTACTGACAACTGAATTTACTTTGACATACTCCTTCCTTCCTTCCTTCCTTCCTTCCTTCCTTCCTTCCTTCCTTCATTTACTGCTAAATTGCCCTATCTGGCCTTGAACTTGTGATCTTACTACCTCTGTCTCCCACATGCTAGATTATGGGGCTTGGCTGTATCTTGAAGAAATCTTAGCATGCTCACAGGATTTGTGGACAGGGCATTTACGTTCTCTATCCATAAACACTTTATGGCAAACAAAAAAGAGTGAACTGATATACCATATCTAAGATATTTTACTTTACCTGTACTTTAAAGTTAGCCTGAAATAACCTGTTTCCAAGTAATGTGGCACAGTTTTTTAACAGGGTAGGCTTGACTAAAATTTGTCTTTTAGCTCATATTTGTCCTATACTCTAAGCCTTTGATGAAATTCTCCACTATTACGTTAGCTAGTCTCTTAAAAGCAAGCTTTCAACAAAACACTCCACTTTCAACAAAGCATTGTTTTTGGAAATGACTAATGAAAACCTGGATGATATCTCCTTTGATGGTTAATAGAGAAAAAAACTGACAACTAAAATTTTGAAAGAAAGATTTTCAATACAGGAAACATGCTTCAATTTTTATTATGCTGGAGACACAGGTACCGCTACATAAATGGATAGACCTCAAGACTATAATGCTAAGTGAAAAATCAGATACTCAAGTTTAACTATTACATGGTTTCTCATACATATGATAAACCCAAAATATAAATAAAAAGCAAAATAAGAGATAAAAATATGAAGTATGGAAACCTTTCTCAAATGGGAAGAGGAACAAGAAATGGGGGGAAGGAGAGAAACACAGGAAACTGAAAAGGTATTTAAACAGGAAAAAAAAAAATAAAGAAAAAAAATAGAAATAGAGTTTTTCAAATGGAATGAGATTAAGAGTTGGCCAGAGCAGGGAGGGATGGAATGGGAAGGTGATAAAAAAGAACTAAGATGTGTTATATACATGTACAAACTCTCTACAACAAATAATCATGCACTGAGCACATGTATGAATAAAAATTTCATTAATACAAACTTTAAAGGTATAGATAATCAGAGTTATACATTTAAAAAGTATCATCAGCCAGGTAGATTTACCAATTTTGAAAACTACAACCTTACCTGATTAAGTGAGGTATTATCTGTAATCACAGCATCAGGAGGTCTACTAGGTATAGCTACAGCCACCTAAAATCAAAAGATATTAAATGTTAAATCTCTAATATTATGATTTTCTTTCTATAAAAAATCATGCATCAAAAGGCTGAATTGGACAAAAATATTTACTTAATATTCTGTTTAATCTTAAGATTTTAGGAGATTATAGCATTTAAAATTTAACTCCTAGCTTCATATATATTATAATTTCCCTGGTGTGATCCTTTTTTCTTTTTGGAGGCAAGGTCTCTTACATAATTCAGCCTGGCCATGAATTTACAATCTAGCTCAAACTGGCCTCAATATCACAGCAATCCTTCTGCCTCAGTCTCCCAAGTACTGGGATTACAGGTGTGTACCACTACAACCAGCCTGAAGTGACCCTTTTTATTATTTCTTTTATTTATGCACTTGGTAGAATCTCACTATGCAGACCTCAGACTCCTAGTGATCCTCCTGTTTTTAGCCTTCCCAGCCAGTGCTGGGATTATAGGTGTGCACTACCATAGCCAGTCTTGGTGGCCAGTTCAGTGCACCAAGGGGTGGGGCTGGCGTGGCATGTGATAATGGGGATTGAATCCCAGTCCCTGTGCTTGCTTAAGCAGGCGCTTAGTCTGCTGAGCTATCTCACCAACCCCATGGTGACCCTTTTTAAAGAACTATATAATCAGATCCATTCTTCTATCCCAAAGGAGAAAAAGTTACATCTTTCCTGTGTAGAAGATGATAATAACAATAATTAGACACATTAATCTAAATTGACTCAATCTTTAAATTGGCCTCTAAAAATCCTTACATATTTTAAATTGCCATTTTAACAAAATTATAATTTTAAACTCAGTTATCAAAAAGCATGGATTATGATGTTGCTTAAACCCAACATTTAAAACTACTGGTAAATACTTAGTAGCATGTACCAAGTACACATCTGAATATAAATTTAGGCTGAAAACCAAAGTAAAAACCACCTCATCAGCTAAACTATATTCAAGTATCTAGTATCAGCTTTTCAATAATTTGTAAGAGAAATAATACACTACTCATTTTGTCTCCATTAGGTAAATTTTTGCAACAAAGTCAACTTTTATTCTTCTAGAGCATTAAGGAATTAGACAGTAATTTTTCACTTTTAAAATGCTAAGTTCTGATGTATTCCCAAGTCCATCTTTACAGAGACATACACACATAAAAATCACTAAGAAGATGCTGTTTTTCAAACATGAGGCTGCTATTAAAAATGAGCTGGGCTACAGCTGTAGCTCAGAGGTAGGGATGTAGCTCTATGGAACAAGTGCCTGCCTGGCAAGTGTAAGATCTTGAGTTTGATTCCTGTTACCAAGAAATAAAAAATAAAAATAAATGAAGTATATCCCTTCTTCATTGCAGCCACATGCAGTGAATTTTGCAGGTTTATAAATTTATTTTAAAGTCATTCTACTATTTTTTGGAGGACTATTATTTGGGAGCAGATTTAATTCTTTTTTTTTTTTCATCGTGCCTGGGGGCAGGGCCAGTGTGATATGTGGTGCCAGAGATCAAGCCCCAGCCTCTGTGCTTGCCTAAGCAGACATTTAGTTCACTGAGCTACCTCACCAGCCCTTCAGATTTAATTCTTAAGACTTACAGGTAAGCAGTCCTAGACTGTCTTCCCTAACTTCTTTAGCAACCTTTATTTCATAAAACCAATTGTTAGCAACATCCAGAAAGATATGTGCTATGGCGCGTGGGATGGGCAGATTGCCAAGCAGCTTTACTGTTAATATAACAGCATCCAGTTAATACCACAGGGTTTCAAACCCTCAGCTTGTATGTGATGGTTTCACATACCATCAGCTTGTATTGTCTCCCAAAGCAACAAAGACACTAGAGAGAAACTTCTGTTCAATTACTGCAAATATGTCTAGAGAAGGGAGTCTAGCTTAGATTCTTGGCTGGCCACAATGCTTGTTACCCAACATTAAAAAGGAACATCATGTAACTGATGATTTTGCACAGGGCCCTTGATTTAATTCACAGTGTACCATGTCAAAAAACAAAAGTAGAAAAAATAAATAGCATGTTGTTTTTACTTTAGCTAATACAAGCTCAGATTTATATTTTCTCTTTATAAAATCTTCATTATAAAATAAACAAAATAAAAATAAAAAAATCTTCATTAAAAGCTTGAAAAAAATCTGAATGAAATCATATTTCCAAGCTTCTCACTCAGATAAGACCACACTGCACTCCTGATACACTATACAACTTATACTACTAACTCTAGAAAGACATAGCCCTGCATTAAGTACCTAAGATTTTCACAGTAATTTGCTCACACATAAGCAAGAAACCAGCAACTTTTAAATGCCAGTCTAAAATACTGTTTTTATGAAATATTTATAAATATTACTTTTGAATAGCCATCCTCACATATAATTTTGAACACAACTCATTTAAACTATATAATTCAAAAAATATATTTATGTATATATACAGGATAGGTTGGATAATTGCACTGCTGATTTCTGCTGATCTATTGAAAGGAGCAGTTGATGCAAAAAGTGCTTTTTCTTCTCTTTAATTTCCTGTAACTTTTTCTTTAACCAATTTGTATGCTTATATTTGGTAATCTAAACCACTAATCTGAAGACAACACTATACAATACAACCATTGTTGGATTCCTATTATTTTGTTTAGTGAAATTCTGTATCATTTTTTGTATTAGATATGAATTTATTTTTATTTTTTATTATTTTTATTGAGAAACAAATAGCAATGAGACAGTTTTAAAACTGATTAGTAGGACAGTTTCAATAATTAATACACTGCATATTGTTTTCTTTATAGTGGTTATTCATAGTACAAGATGAAATCTTTCTTCTCATTGAATTAAGAGAAAGTAGCTGTTATATGTATCCTATTTTGTAAATACAGATACAAAATGGTCCTTCACTTGTATCCCCTTTTTTTGTTTAATTTTGTCAGAGATGGGTATTCCATTGCCATTTAAATATGGTAGGTGCATGAATTCAGCAAAATAATCCAATATATTCCTGCAATACATAATAGTAGTGGGTTATCTGCAGGACTGGCAAAGTCAGAAGTTGTTGACTTAGAGCCTTTTACAGCTCAGTGTATTAATATGGCTTTACTTTATATACCTCGTTTTTATACTTTTCTGCTGGATGGTTAAGACCAAGATAAAGTAAGACCTATATAACAAAAAATGTAACTTTTGCATCTGACAGGGTCAGTCAAATCCCCTCAGGTTTTACCCTGAAACCCTGCACCGCAGTTTGTACATCCTTTGTCAGTGTCAGCCATGTGGATGAGCCACGGCCATTGCTTGACCAATTTGCTGTCTGTGAAAGCCTGAAAGGATCTTTTCTCTCCATGTGACTCTCCTTAGACACACTCTACATCATCTATCACTTTCCTCTGTGGACCCATAATCTCCTTGATCAGAAAATGTGGGACACAACTGAGTTACAGGATGTTACAGTACAGGTTCTCTTATGTCCTGAGCCTTTACTGACCTTTTTGAAAGGCTACGGCCAAAATGTTGCCTGTCCTTGCAGCCTTTCTTTTTCTCTA